CCACTGTATTTTTGCTTTTTTCTTTTTATTTCAAAACCTTAAGTGGGTACAAATGTTTTTAATACATGGATACCTTTAAAAGCCTTCAGTTGGAGCTTTTAGTGTGCCCTCATCAGAATACTGTTCATTGTACCTGATAGGTAGGTTTTTACCCCTTTTCCACTATATTTTCAAATTCCCTAAAATACTCTTTCATTTCCAGTAGGTCTGTTATGATTTATTTTAAGCTGTCTATCTCTTTGGGGAATTTTTTAGTCATGTCCTGAATTAATGTTTTAGTTTCTTTAAGTGGGTTTTCAACTTCCTTATCAATCCCTTTGAGCTGACTTGGGATCCACATTTTGAATTCCATATCTGAAATTTCAAAAGTTTCCCTTTGGTTGGAGTCCACTGCTAGAGAGCTAGCATGACCCTTTGGGGATAGGAAAGGGGTGTTTTTTTTACCTTGTCATATTCTTATGCTGGTTCCTTCTCATGTGGAGTATCTTCCCTCACTTCAAGACAAGTAAGTTTGCAGACCACCTGTTCTATGCTAGGAATTCCCTTGCTCTTTCAGCTCATCCTGGTAGGTATCCACTGCAATGTTGGTCGTAATTTAGGTGAGTTGGAACTCAAACAACTGGGAAGGTATTGAGGTGCTAGTGGTGGTGGACTAGGTTAGGTATCCTCAGTTTCTAGGCCCCTGGAGTCCTGCTCCAGAAGAATACTCAGGCAGGAGAGGGGCAGATACATCATGAGCTTATAACACTGGTACTCTTCGGCATCTCCTTGTTCCCCTGTGGTTGTCTCAGTCCAGGCAGGTGCTGGGCCATGTTCACGTGCAGGGGTGGGCTGGTCCACAGGCCAATGCTGAAAGTTCAGGTAGAAGCAAGGTGGGTCACTCTCCGAGGCAGCAGTGGAATCGAGAGGCTGGGTAGGTTTTCTGGAGACTTGGTCCTGTGTAAGGAACAGCTGCAGCGGCAGTCGGGGTTGGTGGTTGTGGGGGTTTGGTTTCCCAAGGATCCTCCGGTGATAGTGGCAGTACCAGCAAGCCTAGTCCCCAGGGTCTCTAAGCACAACTGGCCTCTCTAATGTCTCAATGTTCTGGCAGCAATGAGGTGGTTACGGCAGCAGAACTGCCCCCAGCCAGATGCACCACTGTAAGGCTGGGCTCTAAGTATGGAACCACAGTGCTTATGGTTCGACACCCTGTGGAACCACGTTGTACCACTTCTCTGGAGGAGTGTCACTGTGCAGTTGATAAGTAGCTCCCTGAGTTTATTTGGAGGCCTCAGGGAGTAGAGGGGCCCTCTTGTAGCTCAGATAGGAATGTCTATTGGGGGAGTATGGAGATCTCTCACCTGCCCTTCTCCATGTGCAGGCAGCACCCTCACTACTGCCGACCCACCCAAGTGGGTGCCTTACTTCCTTCTCCTTTGCTTTCGGCATATTCTGTCTCTTTTCTGTTGAATCCCATGGCTATTGCTCAGGCTATTGAGCCAAAGGTGAATATCTACTTACCAGTTTTGATCCTCTAGGTGAGAGAAGCATGTGTCAGCTGCTTCTGGCCCACCGCGTTGGCCCCTCCCTACAAATCACTTTTTATCTTTGAGACACGGTCTTCTGATGCTGCCCAGGATGATTTCTAACTCTGGAATTACAAGTGTGCACCATTTAACCCTGATTGAAAATATTAAAAGAAAATGTACTTGTTAAGTAATTTTGGATGGAAAGAAATCTATCGGGTGCAGATTCATGGTATAAGTAACACAAACATCTTGCTTTCCTGAAAGACTCTCACTGTGAATAGAAATACCAGCCAGTGTTAGGTGGCAGAATGGCCTCTGAGGATTCAGCAATAGAGATGATCTCCCTGTGACAAAGTGAAGTTGAAATCTGGGGGATTTTCCCTCTTACCACCTCTTCACTTACCTCTGCAGATGCTGATTAACCTCCACACATTTGATTTTCAAGCATGTGATCTTAGATAATGCCCACATTAAGAAATTTCAGTTGACTATTTTGTACTGTCCCAATGCTAAGTCCCTAAAGGCTAAGGGACATTGCTTTTTCATATTTATGGAGAAATCAGTTTACCCTGCCATTGTCCTATCTACATGCTCCTGTCACAAAATCTATCTCCAAATGGCACCCTCATTTACAAACTCCCTAAATATTTCTCTAGAGTAACACAGGTAAAAACCATATTGAACAGGCATGGTGGCCTACAATGTATGAAAGAGGAGAAAAAAATGGCAAAAAAATCATATAAAAAATCAAGAAAATTTTATTAGACTTGAAAATGAACCATGGTATATACTGTTTAATATCATAACCTGAAAATGACATTTACCCAACTTTATAAAAATTCCCTTTTAATAAAATTCCTTAATCATATTTATTACATAATAAACACACACAATAATTTTCATTCTACTGTAAAAATATTTTAGGCAATTTCACTAAATAGTATTTAACAAACATTTTAGACAGTCATACTGAGCGATGGGACTTACACGTGCAGCCAAGAAAGGAATGTAGTGAGCTATGAACATGACAAAAATTGGGGTCTTTCCTAACCAAGGCGGGGGATTTCAAGAACAAACACTCGGTGTTGCCTTAAGAAGTCAGACTACATTGCGTGATGTTCAATACTAATACCTTTCACACCTCTGCATTCCCTCTCCTCTTCTGCCCGCCTGGTTAAGCCAACAATGCCTGAGTGCCCCTCGCTCCCTCGGCAGGAGCTGGAAGTCGAACCACATGTGAGTGCTCAACCTCACTCACCCTTTAACAATTGTAACACCCCAAGCCAGTCACATATCCCAGTTCCTCTGAAGCCATTTTCAGACCAGCTCTGGAAGACTATTGTGCTTCCCTCAGAAAGCCTCGCTGTGCACTAAAAGTTCTCATACCTCTTCAGCGTACAGCATCATTCTCAATTTCCAACCAAATGTTAAGTGCACATCAATCAAGTTCCCGGGGAGTGGTGAAAAGTTCACCTTCGGAAAAGTGTTACAAGGGTGAATATAGGTAGTTCCTAGTTTATCCAGCAAAACGAAGTTCCCATTTTCTATGCTTACTCATAAAAGGAAATACATGAATGATAATATTTAAAACTTTTGTCACCGAGTACTGCAAGGACAAAAAAGACATGCTGTCATTTTTATCCTTATTGCCTACACATTCTTCATTTCATAATAACTTCCATATTACTATATATGCATTTTTACTTAAGGAACATGAAGGTCCTACATGGCACATGAGAGAAGCATGTAGAAATATAAAATAATACAGTGCATGTTCATCAACAGTGATACATGTTCGAGGGTGTGAGAGTCTGAAGCTACACTGCTATGCAATTTTCACTGGACTCACCTGAGTATCGTAGGACAGAGTGTAGTGAGAATAACTAAGTACTAAGAATGATTACCCCAAATCATACTTATCTAAGTATATGTACCCAAAAGGGTATGTTCTTTGATTTCACCAAAAACATTGTTCTAGATGCCTCAACTGTAAGGGCCTAATGGTACATTATTATTGTCTGCTATGAAGTATTCTCCTGAGGTGGAATAAAACAATATGGGTAGAAACATTGTGATTCTTTCATAGCCATGAAAAAATACTAAATTTTCGTAGTTAAAATTGAGGATTATGATATATTCTGAATAAAATACTTGCAGATTGCAATGCCAAGAGGTAAATGCGAATCCTCCCCAAGAACATGCTCTACTGGTAGTTTCTGTTAAACTGTCTACTCTGATATAACTTTTCTTGATTCAGCTTCAAAAAAACACGATTTTTCATCAATCTTTGCTAAACAACAGGTATTGCCATTCAACAGAGAAGGTGACAACCATTATCCCTGCATTGTTTCTATAACATAATTAGTCCTTAAGAACCTATTACTCTCTTCCCATGAAATTCCCAGTGTCCAGAGGTTGTGGCCTATTCTTTCTCTCTGAGTTGGTAGAACATTTTGTTCCTATAACTCACTGTGCCCTCCTTCAGGTGAAGCGTGTGCTCAATGCATTAGGCATGAAGACTGAACCATAGGTTACGTTATTGTCTGCCCATCATCATCCTTTCTAAATCAGACACTATATAATCTCAAAGGACAAGGCACAGTGGCTCACAGCGGTAATTCAGGCATGCTGGGAGGACAAGTCTGGAGACTCACTAGAATCCAAAGTTTCAAACCAACCTGGGGAACAGAGTGAGACTTTTTCTCTCAAAAACAAATTAATAAAAATCGGCTGGACCTGGTGTGGTATACCTGTAGTCCCGGCTATGTGGCAAGTAGAGTGGGGAGGACAGTTTGAGCCCATGAATTAGAGGGTGCAGTGGGCTATGATCATACCACTGCACTTCACCCTAGGTAAGGGAGCAAAACCCTGTCTCCATAAAAATAGAAAAAAAAAATTAATCTCAAAAGGCAGTGCCATTTCTCTTCTAGGAAATGGGATACCGATGATTCTCAGTAATCAATTGAGACCTGTCGTTCTATTGATTTTTTTTTTCCCCCAGACACTACAGTGAAATGTTGGTAAGGAAGGCATATGAAGAGATTTCAAAGCTCAGGTTGAAAGTCATAAAGAATAAAGTAGCTTTTTGAAAGAACCTCAAATTAACTATTGTATAACCTAAATATAACTCACCATGTCCATATGTCCTTGCAACTTTGATATATATCATGTCATGAGGGTCAATGTATTTTGATTTATAATTATTCATCACCACATAATATCAGAGATTAATATTAGAGAACTAGAAACTGACTTATTTCTTGTGTAAATCCTCTGATGTTCCATGGTAATGTTCCTTGGGTATTAGCCTCACCATAAACATTTCATTTGCGTGGTTTCATTGAAGATGGACCTTTTGACGTGTAGTGAGTGGTGACGCCCCTGCCACATACCTTGCACTGATTTGATTTCTCTTGTATGGACTCTCTGAGGTTGATTAATGATAGAACTCATGGTGAAGAGTCTGCACCCTCAAGGAGTCTGCAGAGTCTCTCACAAATGACTTCCCTGATGCTGAGCAAGGCGTGAAATGTGACTAAAAACCTTATGACATACATTGCATTTGTAAGGTTTCTCTCCAGTATGGATTCTGTGATGAGTTTTAAGGTTTGATTTTTCACGGAACGCCTTGCCACACTCGTTACATTTGTAAGGTTTCTCTCCAGTGTGGATTCTGTGATGAGATTTAAGGTTTGATTTTTCACAGAAGACCTTGCCACATTCATTACATTTGTGAGGTTTCTCTCCAGTATGAGTTCGCTGATGACGTGTAAGGGATATCTTTTGTCTGAAGGCCTTGTCACATTTATCACATTTGTAAGGTTTCTCTCCTGTATGGATCGTGTGATGATTTTTAAGGTTTGATTTGTGACGGAAGACCCTGCCACACTCATTACATTTGTATGGTTTCTCTCCCGAATGGACAACATGATGATTTTTAAGGTTTGATTTCTGACAAAACAATTTGCCACACTCATTGCATTTGTAAGGCCTCTCTCCAGTATGAATACACTGATGTCGTGCAAGCGTTGAATTGTAATTGAAGACCTTACCACATTCATTACATTTGTAAGGTTTCCGTCCTGTATGGTTTCTGTGATGATCTTCAAGGTTTGAGTTTTGACAGACGACCTTGGCACACTCGTTATGTACGTAAGTTCTCTCTCCAGTATGTGTTTTCTGATGCACTGTAAGAGATATCTTGTGTCTGAAGGCCTTGCCGCATTCATTACACTTGTAAGGTTTCTCTCCAGTATGAATTCTACGATGAACTGTTAGGGATAATTTGTGCCTGAAAACCTTGCCACAATACTCACATTTGTAAGGTTTATCTGCATTATGGATAACCTGATGTATATGAAGCCTTGAGCGCAAACTAAATTTCTTACCACATTCATAACATTTGTAAGGTTTCTCTCCCAAGTGGATCGTGTGATGATTTTTAAGGTTTGATTTTTGACGGAAAACCTTGCCACACTCGTTGCATTTGTAAGGTTTCTCTCCAGTATGAATGCCCTGATGCCGTGTAAGGTATGAATTGCAAGTAAAGACTTTGCCACACTCATGACATTTGTAAGG